GTTTCAGTTAATTAATTGTTTATAATATGCTGTTTGTATTTATAATTTATGTGTTATGCTAACTGCAATAAAATTTCAACAATATAAATAATGTGTAGTGTTATGCTACTCACGTATCATTTTACATTATTTTAAATTCATTTTTCCATTCTGTTTCGATTTTCTGCATTCACCTCAAAACTGGATATTTTACATCACCTTTATTTCCATAGGATCCTGTAACGATTTTAAACCATAAGAACACAATAACAAATCTTAGGGACAATACAATAGGGACCTTCAAGAAAAGAGCGTACTCCTTTTTAAAAGGCCGGCAACGCATCTGCGATTCCCCTGGTGTTGCAGTTGTTCATGGGCGGCGGTAGTCACTTACCATCAGGTGAGCCGCATGCTCGTTTGCCCCCTCTCCTATAAAAAAAAAAATCATTTCTACTTCGTATTTTCACATTATCAGCACTTTTAAATTGGTGTCAATGGAGTCTACCTTTTTTCGATCTTTTAGCTAGTTTTCCGTAATTCTACAATCTCGAGCTTTGTGTGGGCAACTGCGCTACCTTTTTTCCTATATCAATAATATCTCATTTTCCACTTAAATCTTACCGTTTTCTTATTATAAACCAAAAACAAAAATTTGATATATTTTGTCTTTCTTATTTATATCGTTTCCATGGTAATTATATTCAAATTTGCTACCGATCTGTTATTCCTATTTCGATAATTCCACATAAATCCTCTTTTCTCTTGACCATTTACAAAAAATTTGCGTATAATTTAAATAATTTTTCCGTTCTCTCTAGAAAGGTATAAAAGCCGAACAATCGGTGAAGAAAGGCAGTCTCGCTTCAGTTCGCGAATTGGAAGTATCTCCTAAAGGCCTTATCCCGGGGCCGCACTGCCCCGGGATCCTGCAAGCCTCCACCTACACGTGAAGTCTTCGGCGAAGCCTTCTTCAAACGCGGAGCCGCACCACTCCGGATTCCTACAAGCCTCCATCTACCTCGGAAGTCGCTTCGAGACTACTATAAGCGCGGGGGCCACACTACTCCGGGCGCTACGACTACTTACTCCAGGCGCCGAGTGCACCTACCGCCGGCGCTACCTTTGGGCGCTGCAACTGCTGGCTCTAAGCGTTGCGCGCCCCTTCTCCAGGCGCTACGTGCGCCGGCTCCGGACGCTGCGTGTACTGGCTCCAGGCGCTGCGCGCCGTCGCTGCTAAGAAACCTACTTCTACAAGCGCAAACGGCGTGTGCTGGCTTCAGGCGCTGCGTGCCGTCGCTGCTAAGAAACCTACTTCTACAAACGCAACGTGTGTCGCTTCGACTTTTAGGCCCCACTTCAACGCTATATTCCCCTATTCTCTCACCTTTATTTTTTTTTATAATCTAATTGTATTCTCACTTCATTCATCATCATCCTCACATCATTTTTTTATAAAATTGTAAATACCTTTTATAAATTTAAATATATTGTTTTCTGGCTCTACCTTTGTTGTTTTGTTGTACTTAGGTTAGGTTCTATTTTTTTATTTTTTTTTAAATGTCGCTTCACGACATTTGGCGCCCAACGTAAAAGTTCTCTTTCTCTCTTAATTCTTCACCTTTACTGCGCCTTGTCCATTCCCTTTTGATTTAATTGCTCTCCCTTTCGTTCTTAACTCATTATTCATCATTCATTTATTCATCCTTTTCATACCTTCCAAATTCTAAAACAACACTTCATCTAGTGTTTCAACTTATCTGGATTATATTTAGACCTACATTTCACACAACACTTACATTCATCACTTTAATATTTTTATTCTAGAACAAAACTTCATCTAGTTTTTCAACTTATCTAGATTATATTTAGACCTACATTTAACACCTTACTTACATCCATCACTTTAATATTTTTATTCTAGATAACTTAAAGAGGTATAATTTTTAATTAAATTTTTATTTCTTAAACTTAACTTTACACATAATTATAACAATGAAAAGGGTTATTAAGTACGAATTCCTTAACAAGGCCGAACTCGAATACGAAGTGAAGATTAGATGTGAGGAACCAGCTAATACTGCTTTACTTCTAAAAAAACAGGTTTTGCGTTTAGTTGCGAATTCTCACCCTGAAGATATTCTGACTTCTCCAATTCCGATTGAGGATGACTTGTCTCAAATTGATTCTACCTTGACTTACTTGGACTGTAAAATTAAAAAATTTTTACAAGGCGAAACCAAATACTTGCGACTAATAGAAACTTTTATTAATCATATCTTTTACAGATTGGAACGAATAGATACTGACTTATATCCAGACTTTAAAGCTATTTTCGATACTTTGAAGATGAAATATGACGATATTACTAAACAATTTGAATCCTTGACTCCAGCTCCAACTGAAAATGACCCTCCTGTTGACCCGACTGTCACGGTTGACCCGACTGTCACGGAACTCCCTCTTGTTTCTCAAAATTCTATTCAGGTCCATACCCCGTATCCTCCACCATCACCTCAATCTTTTTCTCCAACCAACGTCTTCAAAGATCTGAAAAGACACACCTTCAATGGTAAAAGCTGTCCAAGATCCTTTCTTCAAAAACTGGAAGAATACTGTATAGCTCGTGGCTTGTCCAAAGACTTGTTGATTTCACAAGCGTTTGAAATTTTCACTGACAATGCTCTTCATTGGTTCAGATTTAAATATAATCAGAATCCAAACTTAACGTGGAACGAACTTTCTTCGTTATTAATCAAAGACTTTGGTGGTTTTGATTATGATCACAAACTTTTAGAAGCGATTAGGAATCGAACTCAAGGTCGAGATGAACCTATTGTCATCTATATTTCCATCATGTCTGGAATGTTTTCTCGTCTTTCGAAGAAACTTTCTGAAACAGAACAATTGGAGATTATTTTAAGGAATATTCGCCCATGTTATTCAGTCTTCGTAGCTCTAAAAGACATCGACTCTATCGACTCTCTACTGGCTACTTGCCAAAACTATGAAAAATTTCTAGACAGAGACAAACAATTTAAAGAACCAAATGTACAACAAAGTCCTCTTATTTCTGAATTCAACTACAAGCATTCCACTTCAAGTTCAGTTGACTCTCCAAATTCTTCTAATAACTCACGACCCTCTCCTCCCCTCATGAATAAATTCACTCCATCCTACAAATACCCTTCTAGACAAGTTAATAGTCTCTCTCAAACTAAAGCTCCTCAACAAACCTCCTTTTGTTTTCGCTGTCCTAAACAAGGACGTTCTTTGAACACTTGTACTCAACCACGATTCGTGATTTGTTTCAAATGTGGTCTTAAGGGTTTTAAAACTGCAGATTGCCCTACTTGTTCTCCCAAACCTAATACTAGTTCAAAAAACTAACTACTGACTTGAAAAGTAACTTAAACTTTGATAACGACGATTGGACTAATTGGAATAAAACAATTCAAAACTTCTTTTCTTGTTACAGAATCTCTTCTACACTCTACTCTAAGGAACAAGATCTTAATCGTCCATTCGTTAATGTCAAAATTTATAACTTAACTTTATCTGGTTTACTAGATTCTGGCAGTTCAGTAACTATTCTGGGTAATAATTCTCATTTGGAAATTCTTAAACTGGGCTGCAAACTTTTCAAGTCAGATCTTATTACTGTCTCTACTGCTAATAATCAAAAAGTTAATTCCTTGGGTTATTTTGACTTACCTATTCATTTCAATAATCAAACTCATTTAATTAATGCTTACGTTTTCCCTGAAATATTTCCTTCGCTAATATTAGGTATTGACTTTTGGAGAAAATTTAATCTTTTACCTAGTGTTTTATCTTCTCTTAACTTTACAGAATCTAAATGTTCTGCTATCGAAACTAAAGATACTAAAGTTTTACCTTATGAGCATTTAACTCCTAATCAAAAGAACATCGCTAATGACATCATTCAACGTTTCAAGACAATTTCTTTTGAAGAAAAAGGTATCCTGGGATGCACACACTTAATCACCCACAAGATTGACACTGGTGATTCTCTTCCAATCAAACAAAGATGTTACAGACTGTCTCCTGAAAAACAAAAGGCGTTAATTAATGAAGTTGACAAGATGCTGCGATGGAACGTCATTGAACAATGCGAAAGTCCTTGGTTATCTTCAGTTCTCATCACTCCGAAGAAGAATGGTGAATGGCGTTTCTGCGTAGACAGCAGGAAGCTTAACTCAGTTACACGTCGTGATGCTTATAGTCTGCCACTAATAAGCGAAATTTTGGACAACTTGAGGAATGCCAAATACTTATCAAGCATCGACATTGCGAAAGCATTTTGGGAGATTCCCTTGAATCCTGCTGATAAGGATAAATCTGCATTTTATGTACCTGGAAGAGGTATGTTTAGATTCAATGTAATGCCTTTTGGTCTTTCTAACTCACCTGCAACTCTACAAAGATTAATGGATATGCTTTTTACCCCTGAATTTGAGAACAAGGTATTTTGCTATCTGGACGACATCGTTATCATTAGCGAGACTTTTGATGAACACATATCACTCCTCATGAAAGTCCATGAAAAACTTTCATATGCTAATCTGACTATTAACTTTGAGAAGAGTCAATTCTTCAGGAAAGAACTGAAATACCTTGGTTTTCTAGTGGACGAGTACGGTCTACGTGCTGATCCAGATAAAATAAAAGCTATATTAGAATATCCTGTACCTACTTGTAGAAAAGAAGTGCGAAGATTCATAGGCACCTGCAGCTGGTTCAGAAGATTCATTCCAAACTTTAGCACTATTGCCTCTCCACTCAATCAACTAACCTGTTCCGGGAAGAACGCTCCTAAATTTCTTTGGAATTCTCAAGCTGCAGCTGCTTTCCAGAAACTTAAAGAAGCTTTGGTAACTGCTCCTGTCCTTGCTTGTCCTAACTTCGAACTACCCTTCTCTGTACATTGTGATGCATCAAACTATGGCATAGGAGCAATGCTTACTTAACATCAAGATGACAAAGAAGTCGTGATTGCTTACATGAGTAAAGCACTAAACAAAAATCAACAGAACTACTCAACTACTGAAAGAGAAACATTGGCTGTAATAACTGCGTTAGAACATTGGCGATGTTACCTAGACAATGGTAAAGAATTTACAATATATACTGACCATGCTGCACTTAAATGGTTTCAGAACTTATCGAATCCATCAGGAAGACTTGCTCGCTGGACTTTACGCTTATCTTGCTTTAACTTTGTCCTGAAACATAAAAAAGGAAAGGATAACGTTGTTCCAGATTTATTATCAAGACATAAGAATCAAGAACGTCCTGATACACGAGAAATTTCACCTCAAGGCGTACACCCTATTACGATTGAAGAACCACCTGATCGTAAACTTGAGCACTACAACAAGATTTTTCTCGGATGCTCCAACAACCCAGACTCATATCCCAACTATACTATCAGGGATAACAAACTTTACCGCTGCATCCATTCTCCCGATCGTCTAAACGATGGCTTTATTTGGAAAGAAGTTCCACTACCTCAAGATAGACATGCAATTATTGAAGTTAACCATGGTTCCCCTTCAGAACTCCATCTTGGTATCTTCAAGACATTCAAGAAAATATCTTAAAAATACTATTGGCCTGGTATGTTTAAGGATATTGCCAATTTAATCTCAACTTGTGAAACCTGCTTAACCTACAAACACCCTAATCATTCTCCCTATGGTCTTATGGGTAAACCTAAACTTTGCTCCAGACCTTTTCAAACTATATCCTTAGATCTTATGGGTCCATTGCCTATGACTCGAAGACGAAATCAGTATATTCTAGTAATTAACTGCAATTTTACTAAATTTACTATGATTTTTCCCCTTAAACGTGCTACTTCAGCTAATATTATTAATGTTTTGGAAAATTCAGTTTTTCTAGTTCATGGCATTCCCCAAACTATTATAATGGACAATGCTGTTCAATTTCAGTCGCGAGAATTCCACTCATTCTTAAATTCTTATAACGTTCCTTTTATTTTTCACACAGCTTTATATTGTCCTCAGGTTAATCCTACGGAGAAGTTTAATAGTACAATTATTACAGCTCTAGCATCTCTAGTAGGAGACGATCATAGATCATGGGACAACCATCTTACTAAAATTCAGTACGCAATGAACAGCGCTACAAATGTAGCTACTGGCTTTACTCCAAACTTTTTAGTCTTTGGTAGGGAAACAATACCTTGTGGTTCCTTCTATACTCCAACTCAGAACCTCGAGGAATTAATATTTATGCCTCGTGATATTTACGCGTCTAATGCTGGTCTCCTCTCATCTATCTTTCACAAAGTTCAAACTAAACTTTACATAGCGCACGCTAAAAATAGCGCTCGCTATGATCTTCGCCGGGCTTTTAAAGAATTTAATGTGGGAGATACTGTTTGGCGTAAAAATCATGTTTTAAGCAATGCCGGCGCATACTTTAATGCTAAACTTGCCCCTAAGTTCATCAAGTGTAAAGTGATAGCTAAACTGTCACCACTAGTCTATGTACTTGAAGACCCTAATGGAGTTAGAGGCAAGTGGCACATCAAAGATGTAAAATCATAAATTTTCTTAACTTTTATTAACTATTAATTTGTATATATGTATAAATATCACCAGCATTCTCACCTTATTATTTTTATTTCTTTTAATTTGTTTGTTTGTTTGATGATCCAGTGTTCTTCAACACATCTTGCTTTAGGACCTCGAACTTTCGTTGGTTAATCGTCACTTTTTAGTTTTATTTCAGACACATCTCGTTGGTGATGTTGCTGTTTTCTGGCTTTGAGCCCTACCGCTCTGGCCGTTCTTAATCTTTACTTAAGTCATAGCGACTAAAGCTTACTTGAGGTATTTCTTTATCTTTATCTTCACTTGGGAGCGGCTGATTACTCCCTTAATAATTATTTTTTTATCTTCACGCAGGAGCGGATGACAACTCCTTAAATAAGCCTGAATGTCCTTTCGAAAACACACTTTTAAGAGTGGTGTTTCTTCGACAATTTTTTTTTTCCACGCAGGAGCGGATGACTACTCCTTAAATAAGCCTTAATGTCGTTTTGAAAACACACTTTTAGAGTGATAGTCATTGAATGTGAACTCCACCCTTACCTGAACGGCAGATGATGAATGTAAGAGATGGTATATCTGATTTTGCCTGGTGATGTCTGTTTCTGCAAAGCTGTGTTTTTATGGTTTATTTTAGAATGTATATATCAAAATTTTTGCTGAGTCAAAAATTTTCCAGGGTCGGGGGGAAAATGTAGTGTTATGCTACTCACGTATCATTTTACATTATTTTAAATTCATTTTTCCATTCTGTTTCGATTTTCTGCATTCACCTCAAAACTGGATATTTTACATCACCTTTATTTCCATAGGATCCTGTAACGATTTTAAACCATAAGAACACAATAACAAATCATTTCTACTTCGTATTTTCACATTATCAGCACTTTTAAATTGGTGTCAATGGAGTCTACCTTTTTTCGATCTTTTAGCTAGTTTTCCGTAATTCTACAATCTCGAGCTTTGTGTGGGCAACTGCGCTACCTTTTTTCCTATATCAATAATATCTCATTTTCCACTTAAATCTTACCGTTTTCTTATTATAAACCAAAAACAAAAATTTGACATATTTTGTCTTTCTTATTTATATCGTTTCCATGGTAATTATATTCAAATTTGCTACCGATCTGTTATTCCTATTTCGATAATTCCACATAAATCCTCTTTTCTCTTGACCATTTACAAAAAATTTGCGTATAATTTAAATAATTTTTCCGTTCTCTCTAGAAAGGTATAAAAGCCGAACAATCGGTGAAGAAAGGCAGTCTCGCTTCAGTTCGCGAATTGGAAGTATCTCCTAAAGGCCTTATCCCGGGGCCGCACTGCCCCGGGATCCTGCAAGCCTCCACCTACACGTGAAGTCTTCGGCGAAGCCTTCTTCAAACGCGGAGCCGCACCACTCCGGATTCCTACAAGCCTCCATCTAGCTCGGAAGTCGCTTCGAGACTACTATAAGCGCGGGGGCCACACTACTCCGGGCGCTACGACTACTTACTCCAGGCGCCGAGTGCACCTACCGCCGGCGCTACCTTTGGGCGCTGCAACTGCTGGCTCTAAGCGTTGCGCGCCCCTTCTCCAGGCGCTACGTGCGCCGGCTCCGGACGCTGCGTGTACTGGCTCCAGGCGCTGCGCGCCGTCGCTGCTAAGAAACCTACTTCTACAAGCGCAAACGGCGTGTGCTGGCTTCAGGCGCTGCGTGCCGTCGCTGCTAAGAAACCTACTTCTACAAACGCAACGTGTGTCGCTTCGACTTTTAGGCCCCACTTCAACGCTATATTCCCCTATTCTCTCACCTTTATTTTTTTTTATAATCTAATTGTATTCTCACTTCATTCATCATCATCCTCACATCATTTTTTTTATAAAATTGTAAATTTATAAATTTAAATATATTGTTTTCTGGCTCTACCTTTGTTGTTTTGTTGTACTTAGGTTAGGTTCTATTTTTTTATTTTTTTTTAAATGTCGCTTCACGACAAATGTAATAATAATAATGCAATACTTTGAATTATAATAATGTAATAACTATTTATACTCATAATTATAATTTTAAATCTATTTATAATTAATTACTAGTAATATATAGAAATAAATTTAATTTTATATTTGCATGCCAAAATGGTAGACTGTACGGATCTTCTATGTACTCTGTCAACACCTTATTGTCATTACCTACATTCAATGCAAATAAATCATTATTCTTTTCTATTCTATCGTAATCAGATAGAAAGAAACAATATGCTGGCAAATGAATTCACTCTTTTGCTGAACGCATCGCGAATGATGAAGCAAACCATTTGGTTCGAATGCGTGGTATGTTGACATATAGAGTGAGAAATAATTTATGCAATTGCTGCAAAAACTCTTCAAAATGTATTCTGTAAAACATTAAAAGCGCTGCACCTGTGCTCAAGATTAGTAAGATTAGATTTGACCGGATTAAGGTGAGTGCGACTCTTAGCACCATCTTCCATTGAGTCCATGGCTGCTAGGGCGCTTACCGTTGCATTTTTCATTTGAAATTAGTTTGAGCTTATATATTATAAGATAAAAAAAGAAAAGTCACTGAGCCTTGCCGTCTCTCAACTGGTGATTTAATAAAAAATCGTTTTTATGATCCCATTTACTGTTGAAAACAAAAAAGTGTGCTTGTAAATTAAAAGGTTAACGAGGTTATGATATTGTATTTATATAAGTCACGTTGCTTCTGACTTAAATTTCAAATACACTTCGTCTGTGGCCAAACAAAATGTCCGCTTTAAGATTATTCCGAAATACATTAAAAAAAGGAAAATCTTTTCTCTCCACACTAGATTTTTCTCCGGTACCGTGGAGGGGTTTACTTACATAAGTTGCACATAGACAAACATCAGACCTGGAACAATTATCTTTTCTTGTTTATAAAACTGATCGTTTATTTAGTTTTTAAGAATATTCACTACCCCATTTCGTTATGTGGGTATCGTAAGAGGCGACAGTGGGAAAGTTGTGAGAGATCGGCAGCAGTGTCTTTCTAATCACAACTAATAACTTAAAAAAAACTACGCCAAATATCCCCTATGAGGTAGTCAATAGAGGAGGCCTATGTTCAGCAGTGGACTTTGACAAGTTGTAATGGAAATGGTGTATAAAACTAAAGTGACAAACAACGAACAGTTCACCTGATGGTTAGTGGCCACTGCAATCCATGACCACCTGCAGACAACTTTAAATAAAGTATGCTTCAGAAGCGTAGTAAGTCACCTCGAGGACTAACATGAAGTGACTCACTGCCTGCAATTATTAATGGCTCTATAGCCTTCAGCCCAGAACACAGCAGCGCATGCATTGCTGTTTGACTGAAGCAGTAGGTGAGAGGGTGGCACCTACCTAGATTGTCGCCCAGGCAGGAGGAGTCCTGCCAATTACATTAATTATCACTCTCACATTGTCCACAAGAAGTACGTGCTTATTTATGTAATGTGTCTAATGTAGGGATTATTTTTATATATTACCAGCTATCCGCCCCGGCTTCACACGGGTGTTTTCTGAATCTCGACAAACCGTAACCTACCGGGACCAATTGTGAATCTAAACCAACAATCTCAAACGCACACAAAAATGTTATTACAATCATTTAAGCCGTTTTCTAGCTTTAGTGAGAGTAACGGACAGCCATTTTTATATATAGAGATCATGACTGCTTGGTTGGTCTACTCATAATTGTCGTAACTTCTGATCTTTCAAACTCCTAGACGGGCCGAAGTCAGTTATTGAGTTTTTCTGTCAAAAGTCCTCAGTAGCAGTCTAATGTCAGGAAGCTGCCAGTGTTGCATTCCCGTGCATTGTAAGGCACATAAAGTCGTTGATACTGCGGCTGTTCTATCTCCGGTTGTGTCTTTTTGTCTTTCCATCGTTCATGAGGGTGAGGGAATAGAGAGATTAATTCTATCCTGCACAAATGGGTAGTCTCCGTTGGACTGGCCGCTGACACCAAAATTCGGTCTGGAGGACATTGGTATATTTTTATGGAGTTCTAACTAGGA